ACTCCAAAACGTTTTTGGGACGGAATCTTCAGGCAAGGCTCAACGCAGTTGGGAAACCCGGGGATCCAGTTTACCAAATAGAAGAAAGAGTCCAAACGACAAGCTACCTTTCCTCACGTCCCCAATTTCACAAAGTAGACAAAAAAAACCTAAAATTTCAAGTTTTTCGGAAAATCTTTCCAAAAAAAAAATCTCCCAAAACACTTCTATTCCAGTCAAGATACCAAGACCAAAAAGGGCTCATCAAACGGGTTTTTTCCCAAGAGCATTTCCGAATTTGCAGTCCAAATTTTTTGACGAGGAATGTACATAATATTCACCAAAAAATTCCCCGGGGTTTCATTTTCCCCTTTTTTTTTCAAAAAAACTCAAAAAAAAACCCACAAATTTAAAAACAAAACAATCCCAACAAAAAAACCCAAACCCCAAAAAAAAAGAAAAACCCCAAAAAAAAAAAATTTAAAAAAACAAACCCAAAAAAAAAAAAAAATTAAAAAAAAAAATTTTAAAAACCCAAACACAAAACTTAAAAACAAAAAAAAAAACCCGTAAAAAAAACAAACCCAAAAAAAAACAACCCCAAAAAACCAAATTTAAAATTCCCAAAAACAAACCCAAATTTTAAAAAAAAAAACATTTTTAAAAAACAAAAAACCAAAAAAAACCATCCTTTTAAAAAAAAAAAAAACAAAAAACCAAAAAAAATTCCAAAAAAACAAAAACCCAAAAAAAAAACACAATTTCCAACAACAAAAAAAACAAAAAAAAAACAACGGGCCCCCAACAATTTTCCCAACCTTTTTTAAAAAACAAATTTTTAAAAATTTTATCAAGAACCCCAAACAAAAAAAAATAACAAAAAAAAAAAAAATTCACCTCAAAAAAACCAAAAAAAAAAGAAACCCAAAAAAAACAAAATCCAAAAAAAACCCAAAAAAAAAAAAAAAAAAAAATTTTCAAAAACCAAAAAAAAAACAAATTTTGGAAAAAAAAAAATTTCAAACAAAAAAAACAAACAAATTAAAAACACCCAAAAAAAAATTAAAAAAAAAACCCCTTTTCAACCTTTTCCTCCTCAATATGTGGAAGGAAATTGGAAGCTGCCCCTGTCTATAGAGATAATCCGGAAGAAAGTGATGAAGATTACAATGATGCGGCAGTGTTGTGTAATAAATTTAAAATGTTAAATAAAGTAACTGATCATTGGTCTAATGTGTGGCATAAGGAATATCTTCTTACACTACGTGAACACTTTTATGGTGCGGCAAAGGCAGTAAATTGACAGACCATTCAACCAGGTGACATTGTGTTAATTGACACTGAACAACATCGAACATTGTGGCCTCTGGCCAAGGTATTGACATTGTACCCAGATGCACAAGGTGTTGTCAGGAATGTCAAAGTGTTGTGTCATGGCCAGGAAAGTTTACGCACAATTAATAAATTGATTCCCTTGGAATTAGGTGTGCAATCAAACGTAAATGAAAATCTGAGGGAAAGTGACACGAGTGATATGGAAGATAACGCAGACCAAGTGATGCCGGAAGATGAAATCGTAGTAAGACCTACTAGGAGAACAGCCACTCAAGCCAGAACTGGCTGGAATCGTCTCCTAAAGGAAGGAGTAATTTGAATCGTTTAGCAACGAACTCCGGCCGGCCGCAGTGTGGAAAATACTGTATATATTTTCCAGAAATTCAGTATTTATATGTAAATAGATGGCCATACTGTATTTAATAATATTTATGTCATAGAAAACGGAAAGCCTGCGTCTGCGCAGAAGAGACTTGCCATCTTGGTTTTGAATTTTGTACAAACGTTGGTGTAATGGGAAGAATTTTTCGTGCTCTAGAGGTTAAAATTGTGTTGACACCTCTCAAATAGGAGGCGAAATTGGTGGATGTGCATTCCTGCATAACTTGAGATATCAGGCGACTGGAGAAGACAGCTCCAGGAACCCCAGCTAAGTCATGTCTATATTATGTTTGTAGTTCTGGCCAGTATTATTATCATAAATGTAGACAGGGGGGTTTTCTGAGTATGATACAACTTAATCTCCAGTCAAATTGATGAGTGATATTAAGATATATTTTCCTACTGTTATGTAATTGTGTATGTATATAACCATTTATTATTTTTAATACACAGTCCACAAAATTTATATATTTACCAGTATTCCTGGTGATGTATTTTTCATTTGTATAATAGGATACCTGTCAAATAGAGTATCCTCTGTCCTTTACCAAGGCTTCAGAAGTGATTCTAAAGAAATGTCTTTAGGTACAGGGAGGAGTTCTTAGTCCCATGCTATTTAATATTCTGATTAATGCTCTCCTAAATGCTCTACCTGCCTCACCTAAACATATAGCTATAAGCTATGCTGATGATATCATGATCCATACAACAGGGCATAAGAAGATGAATACCATTCTTAATGAAGTTCAAGCAATTTGTAATCGACTAGGCCTCATAATATCTTCCTCTAAAACAAAGATATTAACAAGCAAACGACATCCCCCACCCATCTATTTGCAGGGTGAAATCATTAGCTACGTTAAAACTTACAGATATCTTGGTGTAGATGTACCCTTTAACAAATCCACTATACCACAACTAAACAAGAAATGTAAAGCTAGGCTAAATGCTCTCAAAGCTGTTGCTGGCTACAATCCCAACTATGGTGCAAATGTGAGAATCGTGAGAATGATGTACATAGCCTATGTTAGGTCCTTAATTGATTATGCTGCTCCCATGTTGATATTAGCTAGAGAAAGTTCTCTCCGCCCTTGGAGTTAATGCAAAATGAAGCTCTCAGGATTATTCTTGGCTGTCCCAGATCTACAAAAGTTCTTAACATGAGGAAGGAGCTTGGTATTTCTAGTATCAGTGATAGGATTGTTGAAATTAACACTGTACTCGGTATTAGAATGTTGAGCAACGAACCAGACACTGTCACAGTGAATCTTACCAAGTGTCTAGAGGTAAATACACACAGATCTAAATGGATTGTGAAAACGTGCAATTGCATTAAGTTTTATAACCTGCATGAACTGTATCACTGTAGGCAACAAGAGCATTTCACCCCTCCATGGAAGATGTGTTCATTTAATATCACATACCTACAAGTCCCTCCAAGAAGCTCATTGTAATAATCCTTCCTTAAATCTCTTGTTTGAGCAACTGCTCAAGAAGAAATTTCTCACCTAGCTGGTAGTAACAAAGTTATCACAAGTTATATACACTGATGGATCTAAACAGGAGTCTTCTGGCAGGGCTGCATCTGCTCTTGTTGCCACCTCCCTAGTTAAGAACGATAATAAATTTGTTGAGTTAGGCATAAGAATTAACAACTGGGCGTCTACACTGCAAACTGAATTGTTTGCAATCCTAATGGCACTAAAGCTAACCTATGACTGAGCTTGACTCTATCATCATTACTGATTCTATGTCATCATTGAAGGCTCTTGGCTCTTTATAATGACTCCAACAACATGCTCATTGGGGAAGCCAGGTATAGATACTCAAAAATTAGGGACAAAGGAATTAATGTACAATTGCTATGGATCTATCACACATTGGATTACTCCTTCATGATAAAGTTGATTGTTAGCCAAGAAGAGTTATCGAGAAGGAGAATGTAAGATATAACTTTGGTATAACTGTGTCTAGCATTGGAATAATATTAGGAGAGAAGTAAATAATGAAAATGATTGTTATAGGAATGCAGTTAGAAGCCTGAGTAGATCTATAACCCACTATGATAACATGAACGTAGATAAGTATGTTTATGGAGCAACTTGCATGTGAACAGACTGACTGATGTTGTAGTGGCCAGGCTTAGGCTTGGTTACAAGTACTTTCTGGCAGTTTGGGAGACACACAGATGATGATCAAACTAAATGTAAATTATGTGATCAGGCACATGGTCACTCTCTTGAACACTATGTGCTTAATTGTCCACTTATTGAGGAATACAGAGACAGACAGTATAATAACCTATGTGACATGTCAAGATATCTTATTAATGAAAATAAGATACCAGATATACTAAGCAAATTTCCTAAATTTGCTTGTAACAGATAAGTGAACTATAGATATGTAGATATAAATCCATATGTATTCCTGTTAACCCTTTGGGGCCTAGTTCCTAGGCCTTTTGTGTATCCATATGCTCTCGCGCTACCGTCCACAGGATGGATATGGGGTGCACAATAAACTAGGCACTTCGGTGGCAAAATTTAAAATCCAGAGCAAATTGTGGATATGACAGTTTTAGGTATCGAAGGGGGACATTTTTTGTGACCTAGGTGTCCCAAATTCCTACTTGTCTAACTGATAAATAATAACTATCTTTGTTCATTTACTGTTATGTAAATAATGATACATTCAGTAAATGCCATTTTCCACAGTATTATTCTGAAATGGAGTGCAAAGAACATTACTGATGGATTGTTTGGAGACAGTGCGTTATGACAGCATGTGCAAGAAAGGCCTATAACAGTGTCAAAAATATTATACATCTTTACTGGAGGCCTCCAAGATTTCCGCACTGAGTGTAGAGTAGCAATGTATAGTAGTAGCGTATAGCAGTAGTGTAGGATAATAGTGTATAGCAGCAGTGTATAGCAGTAGTGTAGGATAATAGTGTATACCAGCAGTGTATAGCAGTAGTGTAGGATAATAGTGTATAGTAGTAGTGTATAGCAGTAGTGTAGAGTAATAATGTATAGTAGCAGTATTGAATAGTAGAGTAATAGTATACAGTAATAGTTCAGAATAATAGTATAGTAGTAGTAGTATAGTATAGTAGTGTAGAGTACTAGTATAGAACAGTAGTATAGTATAGTAGTAGTATAGAATAATAGTGTAGAATACTAGTATAGAATATTAGTGTAGAATACTAGTATAGAGCAGTAGTGTAGAATAGTAGTATAGTAGCAATATAGAATATTAGTGTAGAATACTTGTATAGAGCAGTAGTGTACTAGTGTTCGGAGTGTTCCAGGTGGTGGTGGTGGTGGTGGTGGTGTTGGGACAACAACAACGGGACGCTGCTGGAACAGCAGCAGCAGCAGCAGCAGCGGAGGAGGTGAAGGCTCACACACACGCCATGAATATTCATCATAATTTACATACCCGGCTCATCCCTGAACTTGGGTATACCCTCAGCCTGTGGTACGTTACGTCTTGCCTATTTTACTCCAAACGGTCTTCCAGTTTTTTTCTAGTGGTGGGCCGGGAGCGCAGTTTAAATGCTACTTGTGTATGCATACTGGTTGGCCTATGCAAATAAGGTTGGAAGGGTCGGCCCAGGTAACATGTAAAGGATCTCGGTGCATATATTATACTTTCAATGGGCGCGTGAGGGGAAAAAATGATCACGGTGCCTTAAGGTCCGTTGTGGGGGGTTTAAACTAGTTGGGGGCCTTGTGAATATATGCAAATAATGTGTTGAATGAGGGCGGGGCAGGCACACGACTGAGGCTATACAGGGAGGCTAGTCTAGGGTCTACTCTCTCAGGGAAGACACACTCCCGCTCACTCTCCTATATACTCACACTTTATATTCACCGTCACCCCGCTTCCGCCTGCACCATCGACACTGATTTCGATGTAGGTGGAAATAGTGTTTGCTTGTGCTGTAGCTAAGTGTATTACTGTGCATGTTATAGATTACTCGAGATTAGTCATTACGTGCATTATGTGTATTTGATTTTATCGTGTAATAACCTATAGGTCGAGTAAATCGACCGATTTGAATTTGACAAGACTAATTGTGATGCAATGGTTAGGTGGGTAAACGTAAAGTTAAATTTTAGGTTTTGCTGGCAAAGCGGCTGGTTTATTGTGCAGTCTATATCCGTCCTTCAAACAGTAATGCAAAAGCAGATATCTAGACAGAAAGCTTAGGAACTTGACCCCCCAAAAAAGTTTAACAAGAGTACCTTTATTAAATATGTATGGCATCTTATTTTCATTAATAAGTTACCTTGACAAAGAAAATAAGATACCAGGCATATTAAGCAAATATCATAAATTTGCTTGCATCACATAAGATAAATTGTAGATAAAAATCCAGATAAGTACTCCTGTTAATCCATTTATGGTAGTCCCTAGGCCCTGAAGTCTGAGTCCGACTGACTACTGAAGACAGCCAAAAACTAGTGAAAACAGACAAAAGAAGCCTTAACTAATTAGTAATTTAGAAAGGAACAGGAAATAGAAACAGAAGGAACAGAAATCAGATCTTAATTATTAAATATGCTGATCACTGATTGTTTTATGTTGTATTGTGCGACTAGAGTACTTGCATTAATGACAGAAAGTGACAAAATTTATTGAGACAAGGAAAATGTGACTTGTAAATTTATTTTATATAATTTTATGAGACATTAAAGTGTATGACTTTAAAAGACATTATATTGTATCTCAGTAAGTGTAAAGAAATGCTATTTTATAATCATATTTAAGACTGTGATATTATGTGAATGATGGTGAAAGTGTTGAATGATGGTAAAAGTATTTCTTTTTTTTTTTGGGTCACCTTCCTCAGTGGGACACGGGGGTTGTTGGAAAAAAAAATTAAGAATAATTTTGGTTCATAATTTGGTGCTTTCTTAGAATATAATAATGACAACCATGCAGTATAGATTCTATTTTTAAAAGCGAAATTTTAGTACTGAAATCATAATGGTGGTGTTGGGGAACAAAATTTGTTATTTCCAGAAATGATAATAAACAGCTATAATCATGGATGACCCCATACCACTTGTTTATATTATCTTTTATATGGCCACATAATAAGATTTTCTGTAACCATTTACTATAGGGGCTAAAATTTTATTTGGTTAGTAAGATAAATATCATTGTTTAACTTTGTCATTGAGGTCAGAGTCCCTGATGTAGCTCCATGTCATGAGCTCAGCTCACTTAGATAAATTTTGGCCTAGATATTAGAGAATGGGTCTGTGTAGTGAATGTACACTATATAAAAAAAATCCTGCCTCGTGCAGTGCATGATGGGAAAAACAAGATGTGACCGTGTGTAAGGTTTAAAATAGTGACTTTGCGGTGTTTTCAAACGTGGTTCTTATAGTTTTATTGGCTGGAAGACATTACTGAAATAGAGATGATTTAGATTGGTTTCAGAACTGCAAATAGTTGAAATTGAGTTTAAAGTAGCAGAAATATTAAATTTTTTGCATATATTCCAGAGGATGGGTAAAGCCTCCTTACAGCCCCCAGTCTGTTTTATAGTTTTTTTTTTAATAGGTCTGACTCAATTATTGGGATTTTTTCTGGTTATATTATCTGAGAAATAGAGTAAATCTTCTGTTTTTATGTGATTAAGAATTCAAAATGGAAAGGAAGTGTTATATAAGAGAGGCCTGGGGACATGACCAGTGAACAGAGGAAATGTTGTTTTAGAGCTGAGAATGTCAACATTGTTTATTTTGGATTCTATTTTTAAATTGGTATTTTTTGAATTGTGTGAAATTGGCTTAAGAATTTGGTTGCCTGAAGCAATGGAATTGGCTTAAATGGGACTCATAGTTGGTGAAATTGGTGTGTAAATTGCAGAGACTGCTTACTGTGTGCCTTTGTAATTCCAGACAAACTGGAACTCCAGCCTATTGATACAGCTTACAAGATAAATGACTTCTCAGGTATATTCTTAAATCTCGCCACTAATGATTATCTAGATGGAAACTTCCCAACATCCCTCTGTCTTACACCAACAAAGCCCACTGAGGTTTCCATGATTATTAACTTATTAAAAAACAATAACTTATTAAAAAACAAATCAGGAAATATAACCCAAGTACCACTACTACTGTGCAAATGAGCGGCTCAGATCCTTTCATCCACCATTGCATTAATCTTCAACAAATTACTAGAAACCAATGCTTTCCTGGATTTCACAAATACACAAAGGTGGTGACCCAACAGATGTAAAGAACTATAGGCCAATATCAAACTTGAATTTACTTTACAAAATCTTCCAGAAGCTCATATGCAAAAGGTTATACTCTTTCATAACATCACAAAGCATCCTCATCCCCTGCCAGTTTGGCTTCAGGAGAAACAAAAACACAAATGATACTTTTAAAAAATGCTAGACCTACTTTACACAGCACTGGAAAAAAACGAATACCCACTTGAACTCTCTATCGACCTTAAGAAAGCTTTTGATACAGTAGACCACAGCATCCTCCTCTTCAAACTTGATCATTATGGTATAAAAGACCATGCACTTGCATATATTAAGTCTTATCTTACTAATAGAAAGCAATACGTATCTATCAAGGACGCAGCCTCCTCAACAAGACCCCTGAACACTGGTGTATCACAGGGAAGCATTCTTGGCCCCCTCCTTTTCTTTTTATATACATTAACGATCTTCCAAGCTTATCACAACTTATGCCTGTTCTCTTTGCTGATGACATGACTTTTGTTATTTCCCACCCTAATCTAGCCTCACTTAACACTATTATTAATGAGCTCACAAAAATAGCACCCTGGATGACTGTCAGTAAACCTACACTTAATATAGATAAAACCTTCCACATCATGTTTGAGAGTAGAGCAGGTGAGGTCTAACTGAACATTATGCTTGACAACACCTTTATTGCTAAACATAATGAGGGAAAATTCCTGGGTCTGCACCTTGACAGCAACCTGAAATTCAACACTCATATCCAATACATAAAAAAAGTATCTAAAACAGTTGGCATCCTCTGAAAGATATGTAATGTACACAAACAGCACTACTTACATTATACTATTCACTGATCTACTCCTACCTCACCTATGCTATTTGTGCCTGGGGTTCCACAATGACAAATCACCTACAACCAATGATAACCCAACAAAAAGCTGCAGTGTGAATGATCACACAATCCACTGCTAAACAACACCCTCACCCCACTCTTGAAAGATCTAAACCTACTTACTGTACAAAACATCCACTCGTACTACTGTGCAACCTATGTTTACAGAACAATTAATTCTAATATTAATTCCGACCCAAAGCACTTTTTGGACAGTTGCTATAGGTCCCATAGACATAATATTAGGCACAAATATCTCTGACATTCCCCGTGTCAGGCTAAATCTTTTCAAAAGCTCAGTGTACATAAAAGGGCCCAAAATCTGGAAAACACTGCCAGAAATCTCCAGAACCACTGGCTCAGCTAGCATTTTTAAATCTACAGTTAAAAAACCTTGTCTCCTTAACCTATCCCAGCCCATCATAAATACAAATGTAAAAACTATACAGTGGACCCCCGACTTACGATATTAATCCGTTCCAGAGAGCACATCGTAAGACGAAATTATCGTAAGTCAAATTCATTTTCCCCATAAGAAATAATGGAAATCAAATTAATCCATTCAAGACACCCAAAAGTATGGATTTTTTTTTTTTTACCACATGAAATATACATTTTCCTACACACAAAAAGAAGGATACATGTACGAACCCATCAGCACTCAACAGTGGGAGACGCTCACCAAAGATTTTCTATACAAAACCAGACAAATACTCAAACGCACTAGAGAAGGGAAGAAACTTCTGTACTTGTTACCAAGCAACCCTAAACCAGCACATATGTATGGTTTACCCAAGACCCATAAACACAATATTCCTCTCAGACCAATCACGTCAGGAATAGGCAGTGCTCTACACAAACTAGCCGGAGTTCTTGCCAAACATCTTTCCTGCCTTCTTGGGACCATCAGCCCCGCTCATCTTAAACACTCAGGCGACCTTCTCAACCGCATCCGTAACCTCTCCATCCGTAACAAGAAACTAAGCAGTTTGGATGTGACTTCCCTCTTCACAAAAGTACCTACCAAAAAAGCCATCGAGGTTCTCCGACGTAAAGTCAATCAGGACCTTAATCTTCCTCTACCTCCCGGAGATTTTGTTGACTTGATTGAACTCTGTGTTAATTTCAACTGTTTTTCTTTCAATAACAAGCTCTACAAACAAACCTACGGCATGGGAATGGGGTCCCCCATAAGTGCCGTCCTAGCCAACTTATACATGGAACACCTAGAGTCCGAATACTTCGCCAACATCATCCCTTCAAGCGTCACTTGGTTACGTTACGTGGATGATGTCCTCGTAATAACTCCAAAACGTTTTGATGTACGGAATCTTCAGGCAAGGCTCAACGCAGTTGAACCGGCGATCCAGTTTACACTAGAAGAAGAGTCCAACGACAAGCTACCTTTCCTCGACGTCCTCATTCACAAAGTAGACAACAACCTAAGATTTCAAGTTTATCGGAAACTCACCAATAAAAATGATCTCACACACTTCTATTCCAGTCAAGATACCAAGACCAAAAGAGGCATCATCATCGGGTTTTTCCTAAGAGCATACCGAATTTGCAGTCCTGAGTTTCTTGACGAGGAATGTACATATATTCACCAAACATTCACTGAGTTACATTTTCCTTCTTTTTTCATCAAAGACTGCAAGAAAAGAGCTCTTCAGATCATTAATTCTCCACGCATCAACACAACTCCCAACAAAGTTATAATTCTTCCCAACAGCCAGGTTGCACTGAACGTCTCAAAAGTACTTTCACAAGCTAACACCAGAGTCGCCATCGCTTCTAGCACTTCAATAAAGGATCTAACCAGGACACAATCCAAGCACCACAAACCAGTCAATGCAGGAGTTTACACTGTACCCTGTGGAGGCTGTGACAAGATTTACGTGGGTGAAACAGCAAGAAACCTCAACACCCGCCTCAATGAACACATTTACGCATGTAGGAACGATAACTTGAACAACGCCTGTGTACAACACCGAAATTCCACTAATCATCTCATGAAATTCAGAGACGCACAATTAGTGATCAAAGAAACTATTTTCCGCAGACGCAAGTGCCTCGAATCAGCACTGATCGCTGTTTCGAATACAATTAAACAAAACAACGGCAGCTTCACCATCTCCGAAGTCTTAGCAAGAATCCTCCTGAAAACATTAAACCCTGCCATCACATAGTCTCTCCTGTTATACTACACAAAGCACATTACAGAGAGTGAACACTGAAACAAGCTGCCTCTTTCCAGTCTATATTTGTCCAACCTATTTTTATGTTACCCAAGTAATAGCTTTTATATCCTTTTACTCTTGTACGAATTAATTGCTCCATCATATTGTATTACTTTTGTCACTACTACTACTACTACCACTAGTGAACATCAAAATGTTACCTCACTAGTATTGCACCTCACTATGAGCCTTTATATACCCTCTGTGTCCATGTATTGTTTGTAATGGCTTGATAAAGCTCCTGGAGAGCGAAACGTTGCCACAATAAATGTCACATTAGTTGCACTTGTGTCCTTTTACTTTACATATTGTCGGTAATTCTACCAACTTTATTACACATGTACAATGTAGTATATTGTGCATGTACTAGTGTACTAAATGAAGAATGACACCTTTATTGAAGATGTGATGAGTAATGAGACACTTTGTGTCCTGGGAGTGCCTTTTCCTCCTCAGTAATGTAGGTTCTGTTTGGCACTTCCTTCCAGAACAGGTCTTATCCCACTGTGTATGCCACTGTGATTCTTAAATCTCTCAAACCAATCTTTCCTGGCCTTAAATTCACCAATATGAGCACTAGTTCCAGGCATTTTTTCCTGTTCACCTGGGTGTTAGTTGACTGGTGTGGGTCGCATCCTGGGGGACAAGATTAAGGATCCCAATGGAAATAAGTTAGTCCTCGATGGCACACTTGGGTTATCCTGGGTGGCTAACCCTCTGGGGTTAATTGTTTCTCAGTATTCTCGATAAGCCACACCAACAACAGTCTCCCCACATCTTCGAGTAGTACAGCTGACCGTGGTGCAGCAGCAGCAGCTGAACATGGTACAGCAGCAGCAGCAGCTGATGGTGCTACAGCAGCAGCAGCTGATGGTGCTACAGCAGCAGCAGCTGATGGTGCTACAGCAGCAACAGCTGATGGTGCTACAGCAGCAGCAGCTGATGGAGCTACAGCAGCAGCAGCTGATGGTGCTGCAGCAGCAGCTGACCGTGGTGCAGCAGCAGCTGACCGTGGTGCAGCAGCAGCTGACCGTGATACAGCAGCAGCAGCTGGCCGTGGTGCAGCAGCAGCAGCTGACTGGTGCAGCAGTAGCAGCTGACCGTGGTGCAGCAGCAGCAGCTGAAAGTGGTGCAGCAGCAGCAGCTGAAAGTGGTGCAGCAGCAGCAGCTGACCGTGGTGCAGCAGCAGCAGCTGACCGTGGTGCAGCAGCAGCAGCTGACCGTGGTGCAGCAGCAGCAGCTGACCGTGGTGCAGCACAGCAGCTGACCGTGGTGCAGCAGCAGCAGCTGACCATGGTGCAGCAGCAGCAGCTGACCGTGGTGCAGCAGCAGCAGCTGACCATGGTGCAGCAGCAGCAGCTGACCGTGGTGCAGCAGCAGCAGCTGACCGTGGTACAGCAGCAGCAGCAGCAGCTGACCGTGGTAGCAGCAGCAGCTGACCGTGGTGCAGCAGCAGCAGCTGACCATGGTGCAGCAGCAGCAGCTGACCGTGGTGCAGCAGCAGCAGCTGACCGTGGTGCAGCAGCAGCAGCTGACCGTGGTGCAGCAGCAGCAGCTGACCGTGGTGACAGCAGGCAGCAGCTGACCGTGGTGCAGCAGCAGCAGCTGACCGTGGTGCAGCAGCAGCAGCTGACCTGGTGCAGCAGCAGCAGCTGACCGTGGTGCAGCAGCAGCAGCTGACCGTGGTGCAGCAGCAGCAGCTGACCGTGGTGCAGCAGCAGCAGCTGACCGTGGTGCAGCAGCAGCAGCTGACCGTGGTGCAGCAGCAGCAGCAGCTGACCGTGGTGCAGCAGCAGCAGCTGACCGGTGGAGCAGCAGCAGCAGCTGACCGTGGTGCAGCAGCAGCAGCAGCATGACCGTGGTGCAGCAGCAGCAGCTGACCGTGGTGCGCAGCAGCAGCTGACCGTGGTGCGCAGCAGCTGACCGTGGTGCGCAGCAGCTGACCGTGGTGCAGCAGCAGCTGACCGTGGTGCGCAGCAGCAGCTGACCGTGGTGCAGCAGCAGCAGCTGACCGTGGTGCAGCAGCACAGCTGACCGTGGTGCAGGCAGCAGCAGCTGACCGTGGTCGCAGCAGCAGCTGACCGTGGTGCGGCAGCAGCAGCTGACCGTGGTGCGGCAGCAGCAGCTGACCGTGGTGGCAGCAGCAGCTGACCGTGGTGCAGGCAGCAGCAGCTGACCGTGGTGCAGCAGAGCAGCTGACCGTGGTGCGCAGCAGCAGCTGACCGTGGTGCGCAGCAGCAGCTGACCGTGGTGCAGCAGCAGCAGCTGACCGTGGTGCAGCAGCAGCAGCTGACCGTGGTGCGGCAGCAGCAGCTGACCGTGGTGCGCAGCAGCAGCTGACCGTGGTGGCAGCAGCAGCTGACCGTGGTGCAGCAGCAGCTGACCGTGGTGCAGCAGCAGCAGCAGCTGACCGTGGTGCAGCAGCAGCAGCTGACCGTGGTGCAGCAGCAGCAGCTGACCGTGGTGCCAGCAGCAGCTGACCGTGGTGCAGCAGCAGCAGCTGACCGTGGTGCAGCAGCAGCTGACCGTGGTGCAGCAGCAGCAGCTGACCGTGGTGCAGCAGCAGCTGACCGTGGTGCAGCAGCAGCAGCTGACCGTGGTGCAGCAGCAGCAGCTGACCGTGGTGCGGCAGCAGCAGCTGACCGTGGTGCAGCAGCGCAGCAGCAGCAGCTGACCGTGGTGCAGGCAGCAGCAGCTGACCGTGGTGCAGCAGCAGCTGACCGTGGTGCAGCAGCAGCAGCTGACCGTGGTGCGGCAGCAGCAGCTGACCGTGGTGCGGCAGCAGCAGCTGACCGTGGTGCAGCAGCAGCAGCTGACCGTGGTGCGCAGCAGCAGCTGACCGTGGTGCAGCAGCAGCAGCAGCTGACCGTGGTGCGAGCAGCAGCAGCTGACCGTGGTGCGGCAGCAGCAGCTGACCGTGGTGCGGCAGCAGCAGCTGACCGTGGTGCGGCAGCAGCAGCTGACCGTGGTGCGGCAGCAGCAGCTGACCGTGGTGCGGCAGCAGCAGCTGACCGTGGTGCGCAGCAGCAGCTGACCGTGGTGCGCAGCAGCAGCAGCTGACCTGGTGCAGCAGCAGCTGACCGTGGTGCAGCAGCAGCTGACCGTGGTGCGGCAGCAGCAGCTGACCGTGGTGCGGCAGCAGCAGCTGACCGTGGTGCAGCAGCAGCAGCAGCTGGACCGTGGTGCGGCAGCAGCAGCTGACCGTGGTGCAGGCAGCAGCAGCTGACCGTGGTGCAGCAGCAGCTGACCGTGGGCAGCAGCAGCTGACGTGGTGCAGCAGCAGCTGCCATGTGCGCAGCAGCTGACCGTGGTGCAGCAGCAGCAGCTGACCGTGGTGCAGCAGCAGCAGCAGCATGTGACCGTGGTGCAGGCAGCAGCAGCTGACCGTGGTGCGCAGCAGCAGCTGACCGTGGTGCGGCAGCAGCAGCTGACCGTGGTGCAGCAGCAGCAGCAGCTGACCGTGGTGCGAGCAGCAGCAGCTGACCGTGGTGCGAGCAGCAGCTGACCGTGGTCAGCAGCAGCAGCAGCTGACCGTGGTGCGGCAGCAGCAGCTGACCTGGTCAGCAGCAGCAGCTGACCGTGGTGCGCAGCAGCAGCTGACCGGGTGCAGCAGCAGCAGCTGACCGTGGTGCAGCAGCAGCAGCAGCTGACCGTGGTGCGCAGCAGCAGCTGACCTGGCAGCAGCAGCAGCTGACCTGGTGCAGCAGCAGCAGCAGCTGACCGTGGTGCAGCAGCAGCAGCTGACCGTGGTGCGCAGCACAGCAGCTGACCGTGGTGCAGCAGCAGCTGACCCTGGTGCAGGCAGCAGCAGCTGACCGTGGTGCAGCAGCAGCAGCACTGACCGTGGTGCGCAGCACAGCAGACTGACCGTGGTGCAGCAGCAGCAGCTGACCGTGGTGCAGCAGCAGCAGCAGCAGCTGACCGTGTGCAGCAGCAGCAGAGCTGACCGTGGTGGCAGCAGCAGCGCAGCAGGCAGCAGCAGCTGGACCGTGGTGCAGCAGCAGCAGCAGCTGACCGTGGTACAGCTGCAGCAGCAGCTGACGGTGCAGCAGCAGCTGACATGTGGCAGCAGCAGCAACTGACCGTGGTGCAGCAGCAGCTGACCGTGGTAGAAGTATTTCTCACCCTTTTGCCACAGGGTTGGCACAGAAGCTACGTGGTGGCACCATTTGGCTACTGTGCTAGCAGTTACATGCACTAAAAACACTGGAATAACTAGAACATTTAATTGGCAATGTATGTGTGCAACCATCACAGCTCCTGGTTGAAACAAGTGCACACTAGCCGGCAGAGGCAGCTCGGGCTGCAGACGACCAGACGCCGCGTTCGGAGCACAGAATGATGTAAGTCAGCAGTTTTCAACGTAGGTTCAGGGTCAAATTTTACACTGACAGGCATCATAAGTCGTTTATCATAGCAGAGTGCCATTGGTAGAGTCGGGGTTCCACTGTAACATGCCTTTGCTCAATATGAACATAGGTAAAACATTATAATCAATATATACTCTTAAGGTCTGTTATTCTCTCAAATGTTATTCATTCCGTTGTGTATGCCTTAGGTTAATAATCAGAACTGGAATTCACTACCTGAACCAGTAAAAGATTCCCTGACTGCATACAAATTTAGGGCTATGCTTAAAAATCATCTCGTCTCTCAATACTAACCAAAACAACATCTAACCAGTTTGAAGCAACTCGCCCAAATACTATTATATAAACTCTAGTTAGCCCTTTCACTGTTAAGAACACTGCTCGCCAACTTGCACTCAGTGTTGAAGAATTTAAAAAAAAAAGATTTTTCTTATGAAATGATAGAGAATCTTTTCCTGCTGGTAATGAAACCAAAGGTACGAAATTTAATGGAAAACATATGGAATTACTCTGTCGTGAAGTTAGTGGTCTTGGTGATATTTACACATCAGCGATTTCACCCACTTTGAGCCCTACTTTGGGCCAATTCCATTGTTCCAGTCGACAATATTCATAGCTATTTTGCTAGAACTCCTTTGGTTCTATCACCTGAGTACTAGAAACTGCCCATTTACCTATTTCAACTACCCAATAAAGTGATCAGAAATTGGTAATTTGGCCAATTTCATACAAATTTCAAGAAAGGCTAATTTCAAAATAGGGTCCAGAATAAACAATGCAAACATTCCTAGCACTAAAATAATAATTTCTCTGTTCATTAGTCATGTCTCCAGGCCTCTCTTACATTATGTTTGCTTGTCATTTTTAATTTTTATTCACACAAAAAATAGAAGATTTACTGTTATGCAGACTACTGCATTATTATAAAGATGGTATAA